GCGATTCATTTCCATTCTGTAACTGATATTAAAATTCATGATTAAGGCAGGATATGGGGTGAATTTGACGCTATATTTAATGTCTGCAGAAAACCAATAACTATTTCTAACACTCACACCGAATTGTCTAACCCCAAAGTAGGCACTGTAAGGCTTGTGTCATGGCACAAGCCTTACAGTGTGTCTGTATTCTATCCGTTAGCCTTACTAGGCAACACAAGTATATTTATCTAGTAATACTGAAATGAACATACTTGACTTAGGTACAAATGCTCGTATTCATCGCACAAATATTTGGCCCACCGGGCCTCGAACCCGACTTTTGGGTAATAGGCGACACCTCGAAACCCGACATACATACCAATCGAGTAACGGAGGTCGTCGAAATACCAAATAAACCAACCAATACTAAGAAAAAAAAATCAGGTCTGACTGACGACTAGTACTGCATGGCTTAGACAACGATGGGTGTAAGTTCGTGAGGTAAAACATTTAGGTCCACTGTTTTATGAAATTTTCATGTCATAAAGTTTTGATTGATTTGAAATTTGGGTCCATTATAATATAGCCATCTCATTCTGTTCTATTGTTAATGACGCATGTATTGATTATTTTTATAGCGTGTCACTGTTTTCTTTCAAATCATAAACGCTTAGTTACTCTGTTTTTACGGTAACTGACGATTACACTCTTAGACTAAGTTCAAATTACATCACTTGTTGTGATTCCTGCCGGTTTTTCTTAGTAGGACTTTGTAAGTCCTGCTGAAGATTTGCGAACTGATGGAGTAGTTTCTCTACATTCATATGTGTTTGTAGCACAGCCTAAACTGAATCAACGACATTGAATTGAACAAATTTATCAATGTCCTTAATGCTGAGGTGCAAGCCTCCCCCATTGATGAGTAGGGAGATCACCCATGGCCCACTACGTGCTCCCAGTATGTTTTAAAAGTGCCAATGGTTGCAAATGGGATGAACGGCACGAGATAGTAAAATGTTGGTCACCCATCCTAGACAGACCACTACGAAAGCTGCTTAACTTACATAATCGCAGACTAAATACGTTAAATATTTATAGCTATTAACGGGAATGTTACCATGTACCTTGTTTTTATGAGTCCCCGATTTCGGCACTGTTGCAAGCGCCATGATCACGGAGTAACTCATCATAGCGCTTGCAACAGTGCCGAAATATCAGAGACTCATAAAAAACAAGGTACATGGTAACAATCCCGTTAATAGCTATAATGTTAGTGACCATGAAAGTTTAAAACAATATAAGTTAAATACTGTGCTAGTCTAGCTTCTCAAAATTAACAAGGACAATTTTACATACAAATTTAAATATAAAGTACTAGTACGGAATAATTTCATAGTTTAACTATGAAAGTTGGCAGCAGTGCCTTGTCAGTTGAGAAGTATTACCCACTGTAATTAATTAAAAAATAAAACAATTTCAATTCGGGAAACTCGATAAAGGTTTCTTGTAACTTATTAAAATTTGGCAAAAGGCGTTCACAAGTTTAAATAGATTAGTCGAAGACAGTAAATTGTGGTCACAGTTGGTTTTTATGCAGTAGAGTTATTTGTGTTAATTTCGATTTTTAATATTTTTTAAAGTTCATTATAAGATATAAATGTTATAAAATCACACCATAATCGTCATCATCAGACTCAGACACAGGCACAGACCTTTTCTATAAAAAATTAAGAAGACAAAAAAGTGCCGTAACCAACCACGATTTTCACTATGCAAAAATGATAATTCAGCCAACACCAATCACTTCGCGTTCCAATAACAGTACAGAAAATCTTGGCATAATAATAGTATTATACTTATTTTTTGAAATCTGCATATTTAAGAAAATTTTAATTTTAATATTTCCAACACACACCAATTAGCCTAGCCCCAAAGTAAGCACTGTAAGGCTTGTGTTATGGGATGCTAGGGTAACGGACAGAATACATATACTGTACATATGTAAGTATATTTATATATAAGATTTTTATATAGAAATACATATTAAACATCCATGACTGGTGTACAAATGCTCGTATTCATCACACAAACATCTGCCCCCACCAGGATTCGAGTCCGGGACCTCTGGAGTCGGCGCCATCATTAAACCCGGCGTACAAACTACACGGCCACGGAGGTCGTCAATATATGGTACTTGCATATGTCATTGTTGCCACCAATTGAAATATTGTGTTTTTATATTTCATACGAAGAAGATATTCTTATGTCTCCATTAAAGTTCATTTCATTACTTTTAATACCACTTAAATAACAGACACATAATCACTTATAGAAGCTAACATTGAAGTGATCTTACACGAACACAGCCCGATATTATGTCAACGATCATTGATTAATCCAGCATACCTACTGCCTACTCGAGTGTACTGCGTTCAGTGTTTAATAGGTTAGATAATGGGTGTACCTAAGGTTAACTACTGGTGAATGCAGCTCCGTTAGATGGGATTATGTACTAAATTAGAAACAATAGTTGCGCTTTGTTTGCGGGTCTCTTGCCGAAACTTTCGACGTAATCTAGCTTCTAAGTTGTTGTTCCCGGGGGGAGGATGTGGCTTTAGCCTTACTTGCTACTCTTTAACTGCTTCCAAAGCTAGTGTTTTGTTTTCAATATTTAAATTCTCCCAGCGGATCAAACTAGCAGTGCACGATGGTATAATTTTTTGAAAGTTTTACAGAATAAATTCTGTATTCCCTCTCTATTCTCTCTGCCTACCCCACCCAAAGCATGGGGTGAAGATAGTTAAAGCAAAAAATAACACGCTAATGTGACAATTACCATATTTCATTGATGTCATAATAATAAAAAAAGAATTTAAGAGGAAATAATAATAAAAATAGAAATAAATGAGGTTACCATGACTAGAAAAGACTAGATAAAAACTGAAAATTTCAACGGAATATCCTAATAAGGTGTACCTACTGAATAGTTAAAAGATTGCATAAAACTGAAATCAATGAACTTTACATCGAAAAACTTTTAAAATCAGCATCAGCCTGGTCATAGGTCATATGCCTTGTTTAAGGATGGAATAGAGAGAATTCTATGCATTGAATTAAGTAAATACTATATCAATCGGAATTCATTTATGAACGATCGTTATACAGTCGAGGCTACAGTCACGATCAAAGTAGCCTGTTCTTCACCAAGACGTAATGTAGATTGCCATATAAATAATAATAATCGAAATCAGTTCAGCGGCTTATATAAGGTAAAGCTTTAAAAAAGCGTAACAGGCAGACTTTCATTGTCAAATTTATTATAAGCTTAAGAATCATGTTCACTTAACAGGGCACAATTTGAGTATGGCCAAAAAAAATATATGTTACTAAAATATATTAATATTTATTATGTTATCACAATTTAGAAGCTCTGCCAGCCTCCACAAAGATGATTGACGTGGAACTTCTGTGCTCATTCCCACAAGAACTCGATTTAGAACTATCGGTTCTAAAACTTGCTATACAATAAATTTACAACTAAATTTCGGACTCAATCGATGAAGATTACTTTCATTATCAACATCGACGAATACCCTATGCCCTTTCTCAACATATAATCGACAATTATAGCAAATTTCAACATGATCGATTCAGCGGTTTAATTCAAATTTAAATCATTGTTATTGCGAATACAGGTTGTTTTTGTGTACAAACATACAAATGATATTTAATTCAGCCATATTTTTTCTTACTGACATGCAATGTTATTTCATTTTGTAAACTATTATTATATTATTCCAACAATGTCAATTAAGTACTTATATTAATCCAAATTGAAATTAGAAGTAGAAGTATAAAAATACACACGAAATAAATTTCAGCATTATGTAATTGTAGAATGGATCATGTATACACTCTTAATTGTTATCAACGAAGCCTACACTATAACAAGACGGACCTGACTCCCAAAATGAAATTAGGAAAAAAGTAAGCAAATGATGATGATAATGTTCTTTGACATTATATCTTCCGCAACTGTCCAAATAAATCAAGTAATGTGACTTAGAAACGACAATATTATTATCCAAGATATGCTATCCAATGTACTATGATGTTTGTTGTTGGAACCATTAACAAAAAATAAATCGGTCAACACGCCAAGTTATCCCGCTAAAACCTTTTTGAGCCTATTTGAAGGCACACACTCTCCTGGGAACAGGCAGCGGGAAGTTTATTCCATAATTTATGTACGAACTTGCTTTTATACATAATAGAGGTCTGATATTATTTTTGTTAATGGATAGCCATTTGATACACTCTATCATAATAAATATTGCCTAGCTTTTTATATTTTTGTAAAAGCTCGTGGACTACTATGTGTTTATCGGTCAATCTGTCAGCAGGTTTCATACAAACAATAACAAATGGCTACGATGTAAAATTTTATTTATCTTGCTCTAAAGCGTAAATTTCAGCTATGAAAAACGCGTCAGTACCCTTTTTGATAAATAGCTATGAGATTTAAAGAGTTAAATATGATATTTACTGTTTTATAAAGTAATAAAGGCTTAACTGCTAAATAGAATATATAAAGATTAAATAATGTAGAAATTATATCCCATGAATCAGTGTTAGGGCGGTATTTCTTATTCCTCGTTCTCTTCAAAATATTGTAATTTTCATTTTCCGTCCAAAATAATATAACCTTTTCGTTCGTAATCTTTAAATATAATTAGTGTTGGAGATACTAGAAAACAAAAAAAATGAGCTTTGACCGAAATACGCAAAGCGTTTCATGTGTTCGGGCGTAATAGGTTTTTTGCTTGGCGCCCAACGTGAAGCTCGTAAGTCTACGTGGCTTTGCCGCTATTTATTATGTAGGTCCTTTGAACGTGCCGTAACGAGTACAATAACCGTACACGATTCAGAAAATTATTATCTGTAGCCATACAACATGACAAAACAAAGTTAGGAGAAAAAAACGTTTTGGTAGATTAGGTTCGTGAGTAGGTACTTACTGAAAACACTTTACAGTTTCAAATTCGCAACTGTATTGAAATCTGGATATACCTGTGAATACACGTGACACAATTCAAACACTATGCATTACACGCAATCACAGTCACTGTCACAGTTACGGAGCACTAGTCACTTGTGCGATCGCGATTGCCGTACGCGGGACGTCCTCACGGCTCGGCGTCGCGGCGACTACTAGAGCCCGAGCGCAAGACTGCGGAATGGTCATAGAGTAACGCAGATAAGTCGGTAGGTAATGTAGTCACTGATTTCACGAATACACATTGAGATTTCGTTTTTAATAATACTGTCTTACAATAAATCTTTTAGAAAAAAAATGGTTGCCTGTAAAGTCGGTTTTACGGGCGAAGATTTTACGTGACAACGTCTTTTTCTCGGTAGAATATTTATTGATATGAATATAATTAAATTGCACAATAGGAACAAGGAATTGAATGAAAATAAGAATTGCACAAATTTTAACTATAGAAATATATATAATACGTCAAAAAAACATATTACAATGCATTGTGCTTGTGAATACCATCGTAGTATGCAACCACGCTACGACGATTCGTAGCAAACTTGCTACACGGCTACGGGGTTCCAGCATGCTACGAGACTCATCGTAACGTTACCGAGCGTTACACTTTTTCATAAGTGACTCCCAGCCGCAACCTAATTTAAGACGTTGTCACGTCAAAAAAAAACTTTATCATTTTGACTAGTATCATTCAATTTGCAGTGAGGAAATAATGTTTTTAATTTTTTTTTTCAATAAATAAATAACATCTGAAGACCGTTGCGGTTTCTTTAACGAAAAACCTTCTTTTGTAAGAAATTTACTAAACTAAAAATAGGTAAAGCCCCTTTTATGAGTCTAATTGAATTTATTAATAAAATGTTTGTAGGATCTCTAATGGTAAGATAAAATAAACATGTTACTTTTTGCAGTCACTAGTTTCTGATTTTAAGAGAGAAGTTATAGGAATATGTCAAATATTACCAGCATGAAAATTGATTTACAATAATCTCTTGTTATTATAATTTTTTTTCAAAGAGTAAAAGTAAAATCTAAAACTTCAATAACAGTGTACCTACGTAGAAGATTATAGCTCTTATCCAACGCTCGACCTCACTGATTTAATATTCTTAAAGATTTGCTTTCAGTAAGAATACCGGAAAATACAAAAAATATTTATGCTAATATAAAAATAAACTATAATGTAGAAAAAGTTTCGTGACTCGGTGGTGAATGGATATATAATTGTATTTCTTATTATATTTAAAAATGAGATTCTAGTCAATTTGATAAAAAAAAATGCAATAAGCGTTTAAATAATGGTACCCAATAGCAGAGTTTCAAAACCTATTATAACGAAATTTATAATTGTAAGTACCGTAAATGTATTTTCTGTTTCATTACTTGTAATATTTTGCTGATAATAATTAATTTTCAATAATAATTTTCTTGTTTTCAATATAAAGCCTTTATAAATACATTACCTGTTATATTAAATTTCGTACTCCTCAGAGTTCTCAAGCTTTCATGAATAGTAAACAATACGTCGTATTTACCCTTTGTATGGAAATAATGGAATCAAAATTACTGTTATCTCAAATTATATGTATCTATTAATTAATATGTTGAGCATTAATTTCAAAAATACCTTATTTAAAATCATTATATCTTTTCAAAGAAGCCTTTCAAAAAATTTTCATATTGTACAATGTGTTTCAGTAAGATTTCAGGATCTATGGTAACCATCTTGGGCATTGAAGGATGACCAACACCAGTTAACAAATCTTTCTTTTATAATTTTTATTATTTTTAAAGCATGTAACTGCTTGATGTTTAAATCTAGAGAAAATATAACTAGAAAAAATTCCACGCGGACCAGGCAGCAGACGGGACTCGAACCCGCACCCTTCGCAATCCGGGCGAATGCACTGACCAATTATGCTACCGCGGCCCTCACGGACCGCGTCGAAACTCCTTCTAGCTATTCTTAAGCTGCAAGGCAGCGCCATCTCTTCGCATTATAGGTAAAATCTTTCTTTATCTAATTGTACCTGGAATCGGTCAAACTGAAACATATTTCGTTGACCTAGTTAAAGTAATATACGAAACCTAAAAAATTTAGTTTCTGAAATTCGGAGATACGCATGACACAAGACTTTTACAATAAGTATTTAATAAATATCGCCCGTGCAAAGCCAGCGCAGATCGCCTAGTATTTAATATTTCTACGAATAATTGATAGTTAATGTACCTAAGAAACAACACGTGATATAAAACATCTGATATATGTATTCTAGTTATGCAATGTATATGAATAAATAAACAGGAAAAAAATAATTGGGTACTCACTTAATAAAATGTAACGCAGAGTTATAACAACGAATTATTTATAAATCCAAACGTTTGCTAGCTTATCATAGCAAAACTGAATCCTAAACGTATCTGGATTAAGCATACGCGCGTTGATCTTTGACTTCACACAACCCTTGCTCACTGACCGTGCTTTCAGATTGACAAATGAAATTTTTATGAGTGCACCCGCGACTTACACTCCGCACTAATGATGCTGTGTGCATTACGACAAAGAGACGTCTCGCGGATGGCGTCCGACACCGACATTAGGCAACCCTAGAACCTCACACACACGAATTAGCCTATCGGTAGTAGTTGCGTTCGCACACACACTACCGAAGACAAGGTTGTCACACATACAGAAATCTTTCGCCTCGGCGAAGTTAGCAGTGTAAAAGTACGAGATAGGTTTTCCACGACTTCTTTTTATCTGTCCGAGGGAGGTCTAAATAGGATGCAAACAGAGATAAAGTACGAACTGTGATGAATGAGGAATTAGTTTGTCTACGCTTGCAGGTGTTTTAGAGGTGCTTTGATGTCTTTGTCGTAGATAGGGGCGACAGTCGCATAATTATTATGACATCAATAAATGTATGTCATAATAATTCAGAAATGGAAAATTTAAGCTTCTACATCACATTTATTTATAAATATGCTAGAATTTGTTTAATTGTGATGTACGCACAGTGGCGATTAAGAAATTATTATTGACATATTTTTCAACAATACCGATATTGATCATTCGCATATCTGGATGATGTAGGTACTTAAATACAAATTCATAGTTTTCGAATCATCGCTCATCTTGATACCACGTAACATTAAAAATAAAAAAATAAAATATATTGGAGTTTTAGTACAAGACCTTTTTACTTTGAAAGAAAAATACATGCGTTGGTTTGCAAAACGTGATATGTCTTGTAAAACATTTTGTTATATTCATCTACTACAGTCATACAATATTAATGCCGCTGGGTAACTTTGTGGCGAGGTGTCGATGATTGGCGACCGACATAGGGCAATCCGAGTGCTCATAAAAACCGAACAAGACCCTCATCTTCAGCTTGCCGTTATGGTCCTCGAGACGGTCTTCAGTTTTCTCGGTCATGAACTTCTCTAATTGGTTGCCCAGGGTGTAGTCGCAAGAGTTATATGAACAATGCAGGGTTTCTCCCCTTAAACTTCACTTTCGTGAAAAACGCAAGAGTTGGAGCAAGACTTTCTGCACCCTGTAGCCGAAGACCACGTAGCTTATATACTATTGGGGCCAATAAAAAGCCCACTTATTACCGGCTAGTCAGCATCTGACATTTCTTCAGTATGAAGACTATGATATAGATAGGTGTCCCAGAAGTCTCAAGGTCCACGTGGTGAATCATGACTAGGGTTACTATTGAAAAATTTGAAAAGTTCTGACAAAAAGCCGGACATTTCGTTAAAAGTCCAGACATTTTAGTCACAAATATCACACACTTAGTTACAGTGATATTATACTCGTGGTAGCAGACGCTCGCATCGTGAGGGGGGTCTCGTTGTTGATTTTAAAAGATGATTTATATTTTGTTTTAAATTAATGAGAAATTTATTAAGATTATTTGACTTATTTGATATAATATTTAAATCGAAATTTATTTGATATAACTTAATAATTAGTTTTACTCATATTCTATCTAATTAAAAATCCGCACAAATTAAAAAGTCGGGCAAAGTCCGGACAAAAGGCTAAAACTCCGGACATGTCCCATTCTCCCTATATCATTCATGCCCCAGCAGTGGGGACATCGATAGATGATGATACATCAACGCATTTTGACTTATGCGACAGATAGCAAAATAACTATTATTCAGTGTCTACTTTAATTTAGGTACGAATAGTCACTGACAAGCTTCGATAATATCACCAATAGTGAAGCATAAATTATTCAAAACTGAGTTTTATTGATAGGTTTCTATTGAAACGGCCTTTGTCCGATATTCACGCCAACGTCAAGTCTGATAAGGTTAGCTGTCATCGTGCGCGCTATCATAAGCCATTTACCGATTGTAAGCCGCTTACTTTTGAATAAATTCTATATAAATCTCAGAATTAAGTCCGGTGTTTATTCTTTCTTTAAATCAATTTATCTATATTGAGTACCTAAGTAGTTCTTGTAATATTAACCGCTCCGACAACGAGGTGGACCGACGATCTAGTAAAGGTCGCTGAAAGCCGCTGGATGCGAACAGCTCAGGATTTTGCACGCCCCACAACGCATAAGCGTGTGAGAGTGCTTTAAACTCGATAGGCCGCTATGTGACGATTTTACAATATAAAATCGCTCTTATTTCCCAAGTAAGACACTAAATCCATAGAAACACCCCGTGTTTTTTGAAAACAAGACATATTAAATTATAAAGTAAGCGTATTTTTGCATTTATTTTTTTAATATATATCGTGGTATATATAGCAAAAAAACGTAGTTAAAAAATTATTAGTACTGCTGTCCGTTGGTCTGCGCACTTGTTTGTCTGCACGTTTTAGAAAAATATACGCAATTAATTGTAATAAATCCTTTTGAATTAATTTCCACTTACTTATACTGAGGATGAACCCTATTTCTTATCATGAAATTCAATGAATTTTATTTACTGGGTTTCTGTTTCGTGAATGTACACTGTGTGAGGCGTGCACTTTTGGAATTTCCAATTTTTTTAAAGTTTCATACGAGTTCAATTTTATTCATTTTGCTTTTGGGATAAGAAATCAATGCTTCAATTAAAATGTTTTAAGAATTTATATTTTTTTTTATGTTAAACGGATGGAAAACAAGCATAT